TTTTTTTTTTTTTTTTTTTTTTTTGTATAAATTTGGAGATTAAATTAAGTTAAAAAATTAAAAAATAAAATTGTAATTTAACCACTATCTCGAGGGTATATATAGAACAATGCCGCTGTATCATATTGCGGTGCTTACCGTTTCCCCGTACACGAGAGTCTGAGGCATCAAGAGTAGGGCACTTGTTCTCTTCCTCTGCAACCCTTGACAGGCGCGCGACACTGAGGTATGATCTCTCTCACCGATGTCTGGAATTCCTTCCCTTTCGAGCCATCATCACAATCCCCCTCTTCCATCTCCACCACTCTCCTTTTCTTCGACCACACGGTATTCACCTCCGATTAATTGCACTCCTGCTGCTGTGGAGCAACCCTTTTCATTTGTCCATCCTTTCCTCTACAACTGCTACTGCTGTGGACCAAAATCACCTTTCCTTCTCCTCTCTTCTGCTACTGCCACTGTCTTGGAGCCAAACATTTTCTTTTCTCCCTTTTGGAGGCAAGAATTCTTTACACTATTAGGTCTCTTTTCTGGGGTGCACGCCAACTGTTTGCACAAAGTTCTCAAAGATGGTTGATATAGAACTCAAATATGAGATAGAAATGTTATTAATTTATAAAAGTTTCCATTGTTCAAGTAAGCAGTGTTCAAAGCTACCAGCACTATGATTGGTTTATGGTCAACTCCACCCATATTTTTGTTATGCAATATTATAATAGACATCACGTATGCTTGTACGGGAGAGATAATTTCTAGTATAATTTGATAGAAAGACAGACGGGAAGTGAGTGGAAATGGAGGTTAAATCCCACCCCACTTCTTTTGCACTAAAAAAGAAAGTTGAAAAAGAAGTAACGGAAATGGAGTTTCATTGGTCCACGTACGTCTAATTTGTTATTGAAGATAAGCCCCATATGTTGATATCATCGAATTTCCTCAATTCTGCCAAGATCGTTCTAGTACTCTCAAGCTACTTCATTACACTATTTACCACTGTTCAACTGGCGAGTGGTGAGTTCTCTCAAGCGGCTCAGTCCATGTTGTGCTATTAAATTTCACATATCTCTGTCGCTTCTCTGTGAATTCTCTGTTGTTCCTGAGTATCTATCGTGTTTGTCATCTAGACGTGATTGCTAGGATCCACATGGTCAGCTAATGTTGCTTGATTGTGCTCAAGATGTAAAGTTTTACTAGGGTGTGTGGAGTTGAAGTTATGCAGTTTCAATAAATTTTGGTTTTGTAATCATCTTCTTGTCAATTTTTACAGACTAGTCGAGTTCAGTTGCTATGGCCGAGGCTGCATTTCTTGCTCCGAATGCCGACTTGTTGGAATGGCCCAAGAAGGACAAGCGTCGGTTTCTTCATGTTGTGTACCGTGTCGGTGACCTTGACCGCACTATCAAGTACAATTCTATTATTTGGCACAACGAATTTTTCATTTTGCATTCGATTGTTCTGATTCTTTGTTTACTTTTCAGGTTTTATACTGAATGTTTTGGGATGAAGTTATTGAGGAAGAGGGATGTACCAGAAGAGAAATACTCTAATGCCTTCCTTGGATTTGGCCCAGAGGATTCCAATTTTGTGGTGGAATTGACATATAGTATGAACCCTTCATTTATCCGTTTCATCATGCTCACGCATATCTCTGATTATGTTCTCAGATTAGCGTGATGTACTCTTGATTCGTAATGTTGATAAAATCCGACAAGTGGGGTGGAAAACCTAAAATTGTGGCTTTAGCTTATTTCTCTCGAGCAAAATATCTTTTACTTGGCAAACACTGTTGGTTATATATGATAATTTCTTCGTCTGTCTTCAACAATATTTTGCCTGCCGGTGGTTCCTATCCATCAAATTTGTATGGACGGGAGAAATGAATATGTTTCTTCCCCAGCCTGGTCGCTTAAGTTTGAGCATGAATGGGTCGATCTAAATTCTGAAACTTATCTTTTCTGGAGTTCATTACAACTTGTCTGTTTTGGTTCGGTGATAAACTTTGATATTGATGGTAGTTCATATTGTTGGTGTTTTGCAGATTATGGAGTTAGTTCTTATGATATCGGGTCAGGCTTTGGCCATTTTGCTATTGCATCTCAAGATGTAAGGGTGTCCCATTTTAGTAAGTTTAATTGTTTGTATTAAACTGAAAATAAACTCTCGTGGATTTCTAGGTATATAAACTTGTAGAAGATATAAGAGCAAAGGGTGGGAGCATTACCAGGGAGCCTGGTCCAGTCAAAGGAGGATCCTCCGTTATTGCCTTTGCAAAAGATCCTGATGGTTATATCTTTGAACTCATCCAAAGAGGTCCCACTCCCGAGCCACTCTGCCAAGTAATGCTTCGTGTTGGTGATCTGGAACGCTCTATCAAATTTTATGAGAAGGTATTTATTCAAATGAATTTGTTTCTATCTGTTTAATATCCTACCGTCTTATTGGAGAAATTGTTTTACGGAGGAATCCTTGAACGATGGCATGTAGTATTAAAAGATGCTCGTTATAATTATTGTGGCTTCTTTGTTTTAACCTTCGAGCAACATGATTCTGGAAAATGATCGATTGTACCAAGACTTGCTCAAGTGTGCAAATCGCAAAATAAATTGTTATAGAAATTGCCTTTTCTTGTTAAACATAGATTGTTTGAGATATATATTCATATGTCTATTCTATCGGATTTTTATTAATGTTCTCGTATTTTATGGTTTCTCTTTGCGTAGGCCTTAGGAATGAGGTTATTGAAGAAGGTCGATAGGCCAGAATACAAGGTTGGCAAGTTTACTTTTTGCAGTTACTACCAATTCTTTCGCTATGGATTTGATCTTTCGTCTTTCTGATACTGGAAATGCTTTGGTTCTTTTTATCTCGATATATGCATCCTACAGTACACCCTCGCCATGATGGGATATGCAGATGAATTAGAGACGACAGTGCTAGAGTTGACTTATAATTATGGTGTGACTGAGTATACCAAGGGAAATGCATATGCTCAGGTGAGTTTATCACACCTTTCTCCATCTATTATTAATTTAATTAATTTTAAACGGAAACTCTTTCTTTCTATTGTGTACCTGTTAAACGATTATTTTGGTTTGTTTCAGGTTGCCATTGGTACTGATGATGTGTATAAGAGTGCTGAGGTTATCAAACTGGTTAATCAGGAACTTGGAGGAAAGATAACTCGACAAGCAGGACCACTTCCTGGAATCGGCACAAAAATTGTTTCCTTTCTGGATCCTGATGGTTGGAAGACTGTAAGTATCTTATTGTAATTTTCTATATTCAATTTTGTCCAACATTATTTCTAATTGTCAAACTTCAAGTGCCAATACTTTTTCTTTTGCACTTAAAACACTAGTAAATAGAAAGCCATTCCAAACGGGCTCTAAATGGCTCTAAGTGTCTCGATCAACTCACCCTTATGGTAAAAATGACTTATTATTATGATTTACTTTTGAGGGGTAAGATCAGTGCACTTGCCTTTTTAGTAAGAAAACGTGGAACTGCAATCGTGTCTTTATTTTTGGAGGATTCTTCGTACCATAAAGGAATACAAGTTGGATTACCTCTAATGGCGGTTTTCAATGCTACTCATGTATGGTGTTTTTAGATTTACTTCATGAATGTTCTGAAAAAAAAAAAAGGATCATTTGAGATAATTGAAAGGGAAACATTCTTTAGTTTAAAAAATAGTGGACCTTTGAATGGTGATGCCAAACATATGATAACGCATGCCATGCACTCGAGCTTAAAATTTGAGATACATGTGATCTTAAGCCTAGTAGTTGATTAGCTTTGAAATGTGGGCTAAGCTTTTGATTACTCTTTGTAGGTCCTTGTTGATAATGCAGACTTCCAAAAGGAATTGGAACATCAATGAGCTGTGTCCTGTTAAATAAACAAGCGATGGGGTAAAACCGTCCTGCTTATGTGGTATCTACCTATCTATGTTGGAATAATGTAGAGTCTGACGATGGCTCCAAATCTTTCACATTTTCAAGTGGTTGCACCTGTGGTATAGCAGTTGCTATGGCCTGTACGGCGTTTCAAAAGCAAAAAAGCAATCTACAAACTCTACTTCTAAGTAGTTCCATGTTATTAATGTAGCCTTCCTTCCTACATGTTATCTTTGGCTCACCTCGTTGATTCTTCTTTGTCCGTCCACCTACCAATCCGTAAGCCTGTTTCTGGCTCTTGCCTACTCCCAGAGTGTGTGCGTCAGATCGGAAAGACACATTTTCCTGTCTAAGATAACGTGGAATCAAACTTATGAACTGGATAACATCCTGCAAATAAGCCAACCTGCACACAGGAAGAGATCATTTGAGCTTGGCCCATTAGACATGGGCCGATTGGGCTGAAGAATTAGGTGGTGGTGGTGGGACAAGCATCTGTGGAGGGTTGCATGCAGACAGCTACGAGAGTCAGAAGAGGGTGACCACTGGGTGCTGTGGCCGTGCCTGTGGTGACGCATCCATTGCCATTCCTCTCTCTGCCACTCTCTGACCAAAATCCCCAATTATTAGTATTACCCACATACAGACCCTCTCCTTTCTTTTTTCTTCTTTTAACACAGTTTTGCATATATATATATTTTTCTCGTGTGTTAAAGAAAAAGAAAAAGAAAAAGAAAAAGAGAAAAAAGAGAGAGCCCATACGAATTTAGAGACGAAACAAAACGAGTGAGGGGTTGAGGCAAAGGAAGGTAAAGTACAGACAGTCATAAGAAAGAAATATCCACAACGTCTGCTCCCGACCCATTACCAAAAAGACGCGCCCATTTCCTCTCTCTCCCCGTGCTTCCCAATAAAGCCACACACGCTTTTTTACCATTTTGCCCTTCCTCTCCCTCTAACATTCTCTTCTTCTTCTTCTTCTTCTTCTTTTCTTCCTGCGAGTCTGTGACGGATTATACAATAAAAAATTAATATACATATATATATATATATATATATATATATATATATATATATATATATATATTTATTTTAAAAAAAGACCAAACCCCACAACATTTGTCGCTCTCTTCCTCGTTTCCTTTCCTCTTCTTTCTTCATTCCTTTCTTCCATTTTCACGGCTGTAATGGCGAAGTCGTCGACCCCCACGACGACGTCGCTTTCGACCGTTAAACCCAAGGATTATGCTCATAGTCCTGTCCATTACGCCGTCGCTCTTGCGGATCATTCTGCTCTTTCTCGTATCGTTTCCACTCTTCCTCGTCTTTCCGATCCTGCTCTTATTCACACCGAGGCTGATTCTCTCGCTCAGGAGCGCATCGCTGACAAGATCTCTGCCGTCCTTGACCGCCGCGATGTGCCCTACCGTGAAACTCCTCTCCATCTCGCTGTTAGGCTTAAGGATGCTTTTGCGGCGCGCACTCTTTCCTCTGCTGGTGCTGATATTTCCCTCCAGAATTCTGCCGGATGGAACCCTCTGCAGGAGGCTATGTGTCGCCGGAGTTCCGACATTGCGCTCATTCTCCTCCAGGTCCACCACCGTGCTGCTTGGTCCAAGTGGCGCCGACGATTGCCGCGCGTCATTGCTGTTCTTCGTCGAATGCGAGATTTCTATATGGAAATTTCGTTCCACTTTGAGAGCTCTGTAATTCCGTTTGTTGGGAAAATTGCACCGTCGGATACGTACAGAATCTGGAAGCGCGATGGTAATCTCCGAGCCGATACGTCTTTGGCTGGATTTGATGGCTTGAAGATCCAGCGCGCGGATCAGAGTTTTCTCTTTCTCGGCGACGGCGAGCACTGCCACGACATTCCCTCCGGTTCACTGCTAGTGATCAACCGCGACGATCGCAAAATCTTCGACGCCTTCGAGAACGCGGGAGCTCCGATGAGTGAGTCCGACATTGCTGGATTCTGCTCTCAGACGAGTGTGTACCGGCCTGGAATGGACGTCACGAAAGCAGAACTCATTGGAAGAACCAACTGGAGAAGACAAGAGAAAACCGAAAGCGTCGGAGAATGGAAAGCGAAAGTTTACGAAGTACATAACGTACTGTTCAGCTTCCGATCGCGAAAGGTAGCTGGCGGCGAAGGTGACGTGGCGGGTAGTGAGCAGGTCCTCCCGCTGGAACTCGACGAAGACGACGATGGGTTCTTAGTAGCCGAGAACCCCAGTTTCGGGCTGCCGGATAGGAATAGCACCGACCGGCGAAGACACAGTAGCTTTGTTCGGGAAGAGAGGGAATGGGTAATGATGCCGAGAAAAAGCGTGGATATACCGTCCGCGACAGCGCCACCGCCGAGGAAGGCCGTGAGGCCAAATTTTACGGCGGTTCCAGTTGAGCCGCCGCAGACGAAGGAAAAGGAGTACGTGAGGAGCTTACGTCCATCGGTGTGGTTAACGGAGCAGTTCCCGTTAAAGACGGAGGAGCTTCTTCCTTTACTCGACATTTTGGCGAACAAAGTGAAGGCAGTGAGAAGAATGAGGGAGCTGCTCACCACCAAGTTCCCGCCGGGAACTTTCCCGGTCAAGGTAGGAATTGAAAAACGTTTTTCTGGGGTCAATTAAAGTGGGCCCTATCTCGGGCTTTAGAGTTTCGCTTTCTTGTAGCCTCCTTGATTTGATTTGGCTTTGATTTTTAAAATTTTTTAATTGGGTGTTCTTTTTATTCCCAAGCAACGGTCTCTCGGAAGTCTACCGAGGAAGAGTGAGCCTTAGACGCCCTCTGATTGGTTGACATCCATGGTCGGTGATTGAACGGCGATGGTATCGACTGAGTTGTTTCGATCCTACGGTGATGGACCGCTGGGGTCCATCTCATTCGAGGATTTACCCTAGACAAAGAAACCTCCGGGGCCCCACTTTTGAGTTTTCTCTGAATCCTGGTTTTCCTACAGAGGGCCGAGGGCCCCACTCTTACTACGCTTTTCTTTTTTCTTCTCACAAAACTACAAAAAACAATAAAGACCCAAATAGAATTTGACTCAAACATTATAACGTGGCAGCGTTACAGACAACGCGGACTTGGGCCCTTTGAACCTTTTTTTTATTTTATTTTATTTTATTTTATTTTAAATAATAATCATTAATTATTATTTGTGGGAAAAAGAAAAGTTTCGAACTTATTCAAAATGGGGGCCGCATAAGAAAATTAAGGGTAAATAATCTTTTGTTCTGGGTGTGTGTAGGTGGCTATTCCAGTGGTGCCGACTGTGAGAGTGGTGATAACCTTCACCAAATTTGTAGAACTTCCACCGGCGGAACAATTCTACACACCGTTTTCAAGCCCGAGGCAGTTGGCCAACAGCGGAGGAGAAGACCCATCTGAATCCTCCCACTGTTCGTCTTTACCGTCTTGTTCTTCTTCCTCTTCCTCTTCATCGTCATCTACGTGGCTGAGGCGAAGCAGCAGCCACTCAGTTGCTGGATCGACGGCAAAGCAAAACCGACGGTGCTCGTGGTTGGCGGGTCAAGATGAAGTAGACCCATTTGCGATTCCGAGTGGTTATACATGGGCGAGGTCCGATGACAAATCAAGCAAAATGAAAAGGTCAAAATCCACCAGGAAATCCAAATGATTGTACTGCTGGGGGAGATGATGATGATGATGAATGATGAATGATGAGAAATGAAATGGGAATTAATTTAAATTAGTTGTATGAATTTGGTTGTGGTTTTCATTTTACAGTATACGTTGTAGATAACCGTCTAATTATAACTCATCCTTTCAGAATGTTGGTGGTCTAGACAATTTTTTTTTTTTATTCTGGTCAACAATCCTAGCCAACTTCAAAGAAATAGTTGCTGACAGTTTTGTTTTTCCTTTTGTCGGAATTTTGATCTTTGCCCACTGAGTTCAACATTCTTCCCCCCGATTCTTATAATTTGAATCTTTTATTTCTTTTCCTTTTTGGACCATCTCCTATTCCGATGCCCCACGGCCGGCCCCTCTAATCTTGATGAACTTGTGAATGAACAGTTAAAAGCCTAATCATGTACTTTATGATCTAAGTTAATGGGTTGGGGGGGGGGGGAATACATGTGATTCTTGAATAATTGATGGATTTGATTAGAAGTTTGAGTTTGAACCCAGGTGGTTATATCAGTAGACATCTGGTCCAGGTTTACGGGCCTTGTGAGAATAAGATGCCTTGTGATTACGAGGAGGATTAAAGATGTGTATATATATATATTTTATTAGAAAGAAAAAGATGCCCAAAAGACATAGTTTGCTTCGTTAGATGGAAACCAGGAGTTGGCAAGCTCTTTAAAAAAGTAATATTGCAGTGGGAGTAAAAGACAGCCCATCCACCTATGGCCCTGCGTTCTGCTGCTGCTGCTTCCTAAAGGAGTTTCTGCCAATTATTTTCTAATCTTCCTCGAATTCCTTCACTAAGTTTCTGTAGTTCTTCATCGGTTTGGATCCCCAGGTATGACTCTTAACTGTATCTCGTTGCTTCTTGCACCTCGAATTCCACACTTTGTTTGTGCTTCTTGAAGTTCAAGATAAGCTCTTTCTTATGAATAAAATCTTTAGATCAGATCTCTCTCTGAGGTTTCGTTTATATCGTCTTAGAAATGGTTTAGACAATATGACAGCGAGAAAGTTGTAACTTTCTGTTCGCTTTACTAATCTGGGTAAATTCAATGGTCATCCGAACATGAATTAGTTTTTTTAGGCATAAATTTGGTTGCTGTTACTTTCAACACCAATAATGGATAGACAGTGAATTTGATGTTGTATTGGTTGGAATTAGAAACCATGGCTGCAGAAGCACCAAGCTGGGCAGACCAATGGGGAGCTGGAGGCATAGGCGCCATGGAAGAAGACGACGGCAGTAAAGCCAAAGGGGGCCAGGGCTCGGACAAGAAGGCTGGTTCTAAGGCTGGAATAGCAAAAGCCATGGCGGCGACCGTGGCTGGTGCCAAAAAGATAGGAAGTGGAATATCTAACGGCATCAAGTGGATCATTAACCCTCGCAAGAAAAGCTCCAAGTAAATTAGGTAGATTTGTCACAACATCCCTGGCACCAAAATAACAGAGAGGGAGAGAGAAATCTACTCTCATCAGCAAAAGATTGAAACTTTTCATGATTCTGGTATTTGTGTTTGCATATTGGCAAACATGGTATGTTAAAGAGTTCTAAGACTTGTTTCGGCTGAGATATTCAGTATTCTATAGATATCAGATCAAGTAGTAGTAGTTTCAGGCGTGTGTCTATAGTGATATAATTTCATCATGTCATATTAGACTCATTTCACTGCTCGATATGCAACTAAAAAGACACCAATAGCTATATTTCATTGGTTCACGAAAGAAGGAAAAAAGGCTAAAGAAAGCTGATGCATTGATTGATCGGAAGGGACATAGCTGGAACTTACATGTAAATGTATCATTGTCCTCCAAGGAACCCACCAAAAGTGTTTTCTCCACTGTATGACATGTAAAGAAACCCATCTTCATCCTTATAATGCTCATAAATTGCAGACATCAAAGCACCTGTTGTACAGAAGAATTTATTACAATGCCCACATTCGATATGAGATCAGATACTGAGAGAAAAAAGGATCATCACTCACCAGTTGAAGGTAGAGTGTCCTTCACAAATACAAATATAGCTCTCTCAGCACTAAGCTTAATCCGTTTCCGAACAACGTAAACAAACTGTCCAACATTTAAATCATCAGGGACGAGGTATCTGCAATGGGTAAGATAAAAATTCTAAACTGAATGAATAGAACTGTTCGATTATACAAGATTGGCCCCTTCCAAAATGGATCGTCCAAGTGCTTATAACGAAACAATACTTCATGTTCGAGATTAATCCAGAATTATAAAGCACTAATCAGGGGACTGCCTTTATTGGGACTAACTCTATTGCATCTTTTCCATGTATCAACTGAAAGCCATTAAGATCTTTCAAGTAAACCATAATTCTTATGATTGACTTGGATACTTTTAAACTACATTCTAGCAACTCCATTATTTTCATTCAACATATTACTGCAGCTGCTACTAACATATGTGCTAGTATCTACTTTAAGAATGTTGTAACATCTTATCATCTATTCATGCTAGTTCACCGATTCACAAAGAGGAGAGAGAGAGAGAGAGAGAGAGAGAGAATACTTGTTCCTATGAATGTCAACAATGTTACTCCTCCCAGCTTTCTCGACAATCACCTGTTTAACTTATTTGAATCAGTATCAAACCCAAAGTAAATTTAAGAAAGCATACGAAGTAAAGAACATAATTCGTAACATTATTCTTACAGGTATTCTATCCGGGTACTTTTCTCTTACTCGAGCAGCTTCAGCCCGTCTCTTTTCTGAGACGTGAAGACCCCAACAGGGTAAGCAATAATAGTTGAAACATGAAATTACCGCATAATTCTGACTGCATTACCCAAAAGGGGTGAAAATAGTGGAAACAATCATGAAACCAAACAGATATTCGCCTATTCGGTGCCCACAAACACAACACGAAGATACTTCGACTACCAAATAGCACTTGAATTTGAATAAGGTGGCCGACGAAGTCACAAAATCAATCAACCTCTAATCAATTCAACTGATCTAATTCCAATAGAAATACGCGAATTAAGCCCAAATACATGCGGATATGAACATGAAGCTTTTGAGAGAGTAAAATTAAATGATTACCCAAAGGAATTCCAAGTTTGAACGAGCTTCTAGCCATGGAAGAAATTAGAATCTGACGCTAAGATTGATCGCTAAAAATCAAAGAAAGCGAAACGTTACAACCCACAAAGAATTCGGTATGAAGAAAAGCATAATCAAAAGTGAAAAAGGGCGAAGAAAGCATAACAAAGAATTGTTAGCAATGACATACCCAGCCGAACAGAAGATCAAAAACAAGCTTTTGGAACGTCAGTATTCGAGTGATGAATCGGCAGAAGAATTGGATAATATGAAAGCAGAATTTACAGAGACTCCATGATCATCACTCGTCAGTTCCGTAGACGGAGGAACCTCCTTCCAGTTCAAACACGTAGAAGCCTGCCTATTCTTTCTCAAGTCATCACTCTACCTGGACCGTCCATTTAAAACAGGCCCAAATTTGTGGCCCAAATTCGTGGCCCAAACCGAACATGAGAAATTTAATTGATATGCTAAAATCGTAAAATAATTTCCAATTCGAATATATTTGCATTTAATGTATTTCCAAAACATGAGAATTAAATTTTAAAATCAATTTAAAGTCAACATAAGATTAATGAAATCAATTTACCTTCAATGTGGAGAGATACACAGTAGATTCTAAATTAATGATGAAATCTTATTATGTAAATAATAATAATAAAAAAAAAATTGGACATTTTTGAAAGTAGCATTGCAAAATGGTTTTATCCAATCCGACGTCGTTTCGTCATGCCGAACACTAGAATTCGACAAAAATAAGGTTCTATCATTTTGTGTTTATTACAAAACTGGAATTCAATTACCAAAAACTCAAATGAAACAACCAAAATGTGAGATCAAAACCGACCCAAAAAAGAAAAAAAAAAGAAAAAGAAAAAGAAAAAGAAGACGCAAACAGTTGTTTTGAAATCTTGAAGAAGATGATGATGGTTTTTTGTTGCATCACTCCAAAAACCCAGTTTTGGTCAATATGGCATTTCTCACTTTACTCAGATCTCTTCCCTTCAATGTTCTTCCAATGCCTTCACAAACTGAGAAGGATGAAATTTGGGTCCTTGCAAGCTTCCTAGCAATCCATTCATGTGGAGGAACCATAACATCATCCTCCTCCTCCTCCTCATCATCATCATCGTTAATAAAGCCGTATCCCTCGTCCATCCATGAACCACCCATGTTGCCATTTCTTCCATATATCTTGGACCAGTCTGGTATCTCCAAAGGAGCTGAGGATCTCTTCACAGTTTTGGGTTCTTGATTGGGTGTGGTTTTGGCTTTAGGGATCATTTTTGGAGCAGAGCTGATCTGCATGCACCAAGCAGAGGAATTAGAAGAAGAAGAAGAAGAGGCTGATGAATTGAAGTGCTTAAATTTTGTTGCCACGGGGCTAGAAGCTTCTTCTTTTTTGGTTTCGCTGGGAAAGCCCCACGCTTGTTCTTCATCAAAGTCTTCGTCTTTGATTGATTTTCCATGAAACCCATGGCTCCATCTGGTGTTGGAACCTGCCATACTGGTTGCTCTAAAACAGAAAAACAAGTTTAGTCCATGAGCCAATAAGAGAAAGATGGGTACAACAAAAATGGAAAAAGAAATCAGTTGTTAACAATGAGTAAAGCAGAGTCACTAGTTCCAATATAAATATAACATATTTTGTTTCATTTTTGGTGCTGAAGAAAGTGAGAATGCGACGGAACTGAACTGGGTAATCTCCTCGGGAACAAAAAGGAACAGAGTCTGAGAGAGAGAGAGAAGCAATATGAAATGAACTTACTTACCTGCCTGGCTTGATCACTCTTCTAAAGAAACTGGGCTTTCACACGGATATTTATATCAGATTTTTATTTCTTTCTGAAAATGAGTAAGATGCAGGGTGAGGTGCAGAGCCCCAAAAGTAACCGTGACAAACCCAGAGAAGAAAAGAAAAAAAATCACCCTTGGCCTGACCTGAATACTACCAGAGAAAATCACAAATTTCAAGGGCCTCGGTTCAGACTCAGAAATGACACCCAGCAAGAATAGGGAAACCCCAAAAAGGATAGCGAAAAACAGATGAATTGTACTTTCATGGCATATCAAAAAGCTGAAATAATTGGAAGAGAAAGGATGGGATTTGAAGAGAATCTGAGTTAAATGAAACTGATGATGGAGGGTTGGTTTGAAACGAAACTCAAACAAAAATCAAAGCAAAGCAAAGCAAAGCAAAAGCAAAAGAAGATGAAGGGAAGTTGGAGTTGAATGTTTAGAAGAAAAGGGTGGGTTTTGATTGGGAAAGATGATGGGGAACGATGAGTAAGAGACTCAAAGAGTCTGACCAAAACCTCACTGATTTCCGTAACCTTATCCTCTTAAGTCGCAGCACAACCCATCTCATTCCTAGTGACAGTCAGAGAACCTCAGTAATCTATTTCCATTGCTTTTTTCAATCTCTGAAGCTGGCCTTGAAGAAGGTGCCAGAGGAGTAAAAGCACTTAATTTGCTTCTGCCTTGCTGCTGCATTGAGATATGTGACCCAAGTTTTGGCCACCAAGGATCTTTAGCACTTCAAAATTTCCATCCATACTACTTCAATCTCCAATGTTTCAAGGAGCTTTGGGATTTATGGGGGAGAGAGAAGACAAGAGAGAGAGAGAGAAAGAGAGGCACCTGTCTTGGTATTGAGGGAGAGACGGTGAGGTGTCTTCTCAAGCTCAAATCATAATGTCTGTTCGAAAATGACACGAGAGCGTGTGTGGGTCAACCCTCCATGTTCGGTTCATGCAGAGGGCCTGTTTCATGAAACAACAAAATCATCCACCTTCTCTTCTTTTTCTATTTGGAAATCTTCCCAGTTGAACTCATTTTCAAACGTATTCGACAGAAGGATAAAAAAAATGAAACCACCTCGGTTTTTGACAAACAATCAAACATTTTTTTAATTCCTTTTATTGGGTGTCGTTGTATTCCAATTGAACACTCAAAGAATGCTTACTTTTGAAATGGGAACTTTTTTTTTTTTACCAAAAACAACACTTTTGCCAAAGATATACCGGCAAAAAATACTCTGAAATGACATGAACCAGATGGCCCTCCCTCAGAGGGAGATGTGGCGATTTGATTAAATGCGCCTAACTTAGATTTTTGCATCACCACCACCACAATCAGAAAGAGTGAGAGTTAAGAGTTCAAAAAGATTGAGTTTACAAATGAACTGCAGTGCTGACTAGGACTTTCACCTTTAAACTAAACAGTTCAAGACTGTGGATTCCAAGTAAGAAAGAAAGAAAGAACAGAAAATCATATAATGGGGCAATCAAAAATCAAATTCAAGTGAGGGTGATAATCATTAAGATAATGAAAACCCTTTTATATCTGTGGTGGAAGAAAAAGAAAATAGTTTGAATAAAGCAAAGATAAGATCAGACGGTACCTTTTTTTCATTCATTTAATCACTTTCCTTCACCGGGATGGGATTTCATCCTCTCTTGCAAAAACTATGGCTTCCCACCACCATTTTCAACTTCTTTTGTGTCTATCCACATCGCTTAGCCTGCTGCTGATTTGTTCGTCTGCATCAAATTGTTTTCCTTTATGATGCATAATCAAGCATGTCATTGTTCAATTCTACTTTATTGATTACTTATGTTTACCGACGAAGTAGAGGTGTTTTATTCATGGTTATGGTCATTATAGCAATAGACAGAAAGGAGAGGCAGTGATTAAAACAAATCTGCATACATGGGATGTCGACATTCTGTGAGACAACATGAATCTTTAGAGCTGCGATAAATATTAAAAAATATACACAAGGCCTGTAAGACAACAGTTCATATTATACAGGTCAATCATCTATCAAATTCTACTGTTTTTTATTATGTCTTCCCTAATCCTCTTTTGACAGAGTCACCAAACTTTCCTTGGCGTGCACATTTGTGGAATGCAGATTAAGGGAAAACTTGAAGTTCTAAAGAAAGCCGAGTCATTGATCTGATAACCTTTGACATTGAAAATATAGGCTTAAAGAAGCACATAAATTATCCAGTTTGAAACCAAAGCTAGAAATAAAAGGGATGTAACATAGAGTTAAGATGAACTGTGATTCTCCATAAGGCCAAAAGGCCCCAATAGTTACGTTTATTATATATATGGATACTCGAACAACGCTAAAGAAAGCAGAGCTGCACCAAGAAGTGCAGATATTACAAGAATTATCAACAACCATAGCGTCAAAAAGACCAAAAAGTGGATAGAATTGTCTTATTTTCCAAGATGCGTTGTCCCATTGTCTCATAGCACTGGTTTATGATGTGATGAGACTTAGAAGGAACTTGTTAAATATGTCATAGTTCTTAAATGGGCACAGTTTACGTTTAATGATTTTCAGTGGAAAGTACCTAAAAGTAGCATAACTGACTCAAGTCAAAGCGTTGGCACCAGCAACAATCTCCAAAATCTCGCCAGTGATTTTGGCTTGACGCTGTCTGTTGTAGACAATAGAGAGCGTCTTCTTCAACTCGCTTGCATTATCAGTTGCACTGCTCATGGCACTCATTCTGGCAGCAAGTTCACTAGCTAATGATTCTTGCAATGACCTCAAAATTTGACTGTTCAAATAGAGAGGTAATAAAGCATCAAGAATCTGAACTGGGTCCTGCTCAAACTGCAAAATTGGGGGAAAATCTGAGGTTTTTGTCCTCACGGCATCTCTCTCTACGGTTAATTTTCCTTCTTTTGTCGTCAATCTGAAGAACTCGTCCTCTGCGGCATCGACACAAACACGATTTATATCACAAATCTCTCCTTTCGGGGACAATGGAAGCAGTGTGTGGATCACAGGGTCCGATTTGACTAATGACACGAATTTGGTGTACAGAAGCTCGACTTTGTCGACCTCTTCGCTAACAAAGAGGGAAAAAACATCGTCTGCAATGGCTTGAGCTTCTTTAGCTGTGGGAAGTGAACCGCCCTCAAGAAATCTATCTACTGGGATGTAAGGCCGGCGAAGGAAATACGAATTGCCCTTCTTGCCAACGCTAATAACTGTATAATCAACGCCAAGGGTCTTCAATTCTGCGATTCTGGATTCTGCCTTTTTGATGATCATGTTATTGAAACTTCCGCAGAGGCCACGATCCCCTGTTACAACAATCAAAGCAACCTTCTTAACCGGTCGGACGTTTGTAAGAGGAACATCTATATCTTCGGTTTGGAGCTGCTCGTTGATGTTGTAAAGAACTTCAACTAGAGATTCCGAGAATGGTCTTCCATTAACAACAGCTTCTTGAGCTCTACGCACTTTGGCAGCAGCAACGAGCTTCATAGCCTCAGTAATTTTCTGGGTGTTCTTCACTGAATCGATCCGTTCTCGAAGCTCACGGAGGCCACAATGAATCGGAGTGACAGATGAGGATCGCGAGGCAGAGCCTTGCAAAGGAACTTGAAGTGGGTTAAAATGCCGAAAGGATAGAGCGGAGGCATCGGATGAAGACGATTTTGAGTATACCCACATTGTAAAGTTTGAGCAAGCCATGATCTTTAATGGACGACCTACTCGGGCTCCGATTCAGAGAAGCGGGTCTTCTAAGTGGAGTTCAAATTTGCTTTCAAATGTCTCTCTGCGGTCTTATTCTTCGTCTTGGAGCTTTTGTTCTGGTATGAGGGAAATGAGGTAACGATTTGGATCAGGTTTGTGATAACGATTTGATCGTTGCAGATTGCTGGTGATCAAACATTTGGAGGTGGGCTCCATTACACTCCGCTCTGGTGGCGCATGATCCTTGTACATTCGTATTTGACTGCGGATGGTATATGCGGCTACGCGACTCTAATTCGTCCAAGTTTGATTTGTCCGTTATCCCAGAACCACAGCCCCCCGCCCAGAAAGGGAGACGAAAAGGGTAAACGGAATGGGCTTCCGTCGGCCCATGTTTGAGTGAATATACAGGCCATCGGCCCAATTCAATGGCGAACCAGTTTCATTCCTTCTATCTGTATCTCACGCCGTTTCCCGCTCCTTCGTTTCCGGTTGGGATTTCGGGGAGGCTTTTGAAAGCAGCAAAGAGAATAGAATTTGAGAAGAGGAAAACTGCGACTATGGCGTCACTGGGCTCAACTGACACCAAAATCACCCAAGGGAAGCTTGGATACTCTCAACAGCCATCCGTCTTACTTCACCACAAGTTCCTGCACTAGGCGGAACATTCCTTTAGACATGTTCATGTCACATGTAAGGTGTATTGTTTCTAGTCCAAGTAGTATTAGTATTTGAATCATTGGCACGATCATCAGAAGCATGCTGTTGTTATAGTTTATCTGTTGAACGGATCAACATTGCTGGGGAACCCATCGCGAAGCTTTTTATTTGGGACGACCTTTAGTGAGCCAATGATAATTAGGCTGCATCCATTGATATCCTCAGGTTATTTTAGGGCATTCTGGAAACACAGAAAAGCTTGCGACTCATCCAATTGAAGAGTTTGAGAAGGAAAATCCAATCCACAAGAACAAAAGGCAGGTGCTCTGTATTGGGTTTTACTAGTTGAAAGAAAGGACGCAAAATTAGTGAAAGGGTTTTTAAAGAGGTTTGGAATTGGATGGCTGGATCTGGTAGAAAGGTTTGTTCACGAGGTAATGGAACACATATTTTCTTTTTCCGTTGTTACTGTGCTCATAGATTATTGACATAGAGAACACATTAAGGCTTTTTCAATAAATTATGGCAAACACTGGTTCGAAATTCTTGTGCATTCTCAACTTTGGTGCCTATTTATGTAATCTAACTAAGACATTGAATTGAAATATGGCATTGACTGATCAGGGCTAAAGCAAAGCTGTCAAAGTTTGTGAGTGTAATAGTTTATTAACGATATCTTATTAACGTAGACTGCCATTTCTTGCTTCTATTCAATATGAGTGTATTACTTTTCTTACTTTTTCTCACTCAATGCTGAAATTGAATATGCAGAAATGAAGGTGGGACATTACATGTGCACGTTAATGTGAAGGACTCGGAAGGAGAACCGTGGACTAAACACCTTCTACACTCGACAACTGATAATATTGCAGAATCTGAAGGTCTCTTCTTTCTCACTTCCCTTTTCTCCAAGTTGGGATATTGTGAATACAAATATCGTCTGATCTGATCCTGACCTGACTTGGATGATTTCCATTCAGGTCATAGTTGAGATATTTGAGTAGAACACGTCGAGAGTAAAATGGTCTTCTCCCCACATTTGTCATTTGTTGCGGATGTTCAATGCAAAAGGATTCAACAGAACAGTTGTGGAATCTGCTTCCTACATGAATCTAGAGTTCAAAACCCCAAAAAGCTGCACCAAAGGTCCTGATCGCCTTGATATAAATATGAAAGGGGGGATTTATATTTAGTGTTCGTCGTTGGCATTATAATTCATGCGAAATGAGAACTGTTCTTTCTGCTCAATGTTGGAGTTTTATGGAATCGTTGATATTTTAACAACAAAATCATAAAATGGGGTAGACGGTAGAATCATCCATAAACAGAGTGGCTTCTTGTTTATGTGATATTACTGTGTGCATTTTGATAATGCAAGCGCATTACATCAAAGAACACATTTTTTAAAGAACCCATGATGAAGGATGCAATAAAAAATTATTCCAATTTTCCTAATTATTTCTGAGTTCTGCCATTTATTTTACACATCATTGATTCACTGCAAAATTCGAAATTGGATTTGATTCTAATGTTCTGTTGAAACTACTTTTGAAGAATATCTTAAGAAATTGATCAGATCAGACAGTTCCTGTTCTTTCAATCTTATTCCAACAGATACTGATTTCTTCTAATGGAATGAGACTTCTAAACATAGTTCAACAAACAAACAGAACTGGAAATGGCAAGAACGGAAACTATTAGCTTGCTCTTGCAGGATTCTTCGGTTGAGTAACAGCTAAAAGAGAAAAAGACAGGCTACATATACATACAACTTACCTCTATTTCTCAGGGAAGTACTGATCTCAAGCTAAGGCAGCAAAAGAAAGAGAAGAAACCGACAACTATTTTGACGTCTAAATTTAAGAGGTTCTGGCAATCCGTCAGATCCACCGACCGCTTTGAAGTTTGAATTTGCTAATAAGAAATTAAAAGAGCTTTCCTGGTTGCGTTGTTCCACTTCTCATCATTGCGCAGAATTCCTGGTAGTTGATTCTACCATCCTGCCATGCAAAGAACAGTGCGTTGAAAATCAACAGACCCACACAAGAAAAGCTTATCTTTTAAAACTTCAACAACTTACATTATCTGTGTCAACCTCAGAGATAATTTCCCTGATGCTGGCTTCATCACCCATGCCATAATCCTTCATGGCAGCCTCCAGCTCGTCTTTTGTAATGTATCTGTTATCAGACCAATAGCTCGGTAATATGATGCTATTTACGTATTTCAAGTCAGTGTAAACCATTGAATTACAGATTTGGATTAAGGAGGATCAGAAAGTTCCTGACTTACCCACTACTATCCTTGTCGAAAAACTGAAATGCTTTGTATAAGTGTTCATCTCTTTCTAGTCTGTGCCTATGCATTGTTGCAGAGATAAATTCAATGTAGTCGATCGATCCGTTTCCATCCACGTCGGCCTGAAAAGTTTGAACCTTGCTATGAGAGAGTTCTTAAGCAAAAACCAATTAAAAGAATTGGAGATAAGTGTTTATTTACTTACAGCTTCCATTAGTTGCTTCACTTCAGCCTCTGAGAGCCGTGAACCAAGACGAGCTAAGCCAGTCTTCAGTTCTTCATAGGTGATTGTGCCACTATTGTCAGTATCTATGTTTGCGAACATGGCTTTAAGGCCCTTGATTTCTTCTTCAGATAAGTTTTCCGCAATGACCTAAGATGCATATCAGTGAGGCTCAAATGTAAGAATTGAGAGTTGCATGAACGACAAAACGTTCCCATAGGAGGTAAAGAAACAAGGCCTCCTTACGAGAAAAATATGAACAGACACACACACATCAAATAAAACATGTAGTCGCAGAAACTTCACAAGTTGAACAGACATTACGATGGTGAGATTCCATGTCGATTGGAGAGGAGAATGAATCATTCTTTATAAAGGATGTAGAAACTCTCCCTAATAGACGTATTTTAAAAACCTAAGGAAAAGTCCAAAGAGGACGATATCTACCGGTGGTGGACTTGGGCTGATCACAGTCATATATGTGAAAATGAAGCAGCTATGCTATTAAACTACTTAATTTGCTTAGGATACTAACATCATCGTCATCCTTGGCTCCACAGAGACGGACAACATATACATCAAATATCTTTATGTTCTCAATGTGCACAAAATAAATGCAGTGTGGTGTGCATCAATTGTGTTCATGCAGTCCTAGAAAGCAAGACAACATTTCCTCTACGAACCCGAGTCCTGATTGCAGTGTATTAATTAATTACCTTCAAAGCAAGCTTCTTAAGCTTATTCATTGCTCTGAATTGCTTCATTCTAGCCAGAACGGCGTTATCTATTGGCTTGTCTGATGCTTCTCCACCTTCTCTGATCCATGGATGTTCTAGATGAAGACACAACTAATAACATTAGCCTAGATAAATGGCAGCAGCATTGCAGAAAAACCAAGAGGAGAGCCAAATGTGAAACCAAAAACCTTTCTTAAACACATATATCAAAGGATTGGTTGATACCTAGAACTTGTGAAGGAGTAATCCTCTTCCTCGGATCCTGTGTCAGCATTTTCCTCACCAGATCTTTAGCACTTTCGGATATGGTCGGCCACGGTGCACTAACAAAATCGATGTCTCCTTGCAGTATGGCATCAAATATTCCTTTCTCATTTTCTGCCATTTCAAATTGAGAGAGGCAATTCAACACATTTTCATCTCGTAGTTTTAGAAACTGAAACTGTAATAGAATTTACCTGCCCAAAATGGAGGCACACCACTGAGAAGGATGTACAAAATAACTCCAGCACTCCAAACATCAATTTCCTTCCCATAATTTCGCCTCAACACTTCAGGAGCAACATAGTACGCACTACCAACTATATCACGATACACTTTACCTGAGATTACATCCAAAATACATTCATTAGCGGTTAAGCACAAGGATCATCTGCGTTCATCATACAGTTTTCATTTCTTCAAGTGAGATAAGAGAGTAAGATATTAAAAGTATCAGCAACAACAGGTTAGGTTTGATTACGGGACAGCTCAGTTTTAATAGAAGCTTCATCGCATACAAAATCGTTATGAATGATGGAAAAATGGGCGGGAAATAGAATGAAATTCACAATCTGGGTCCATTAAGAGATGCCAAACTAATGATTTTGGCTGGCTATACATCTATGATCAAAGTATCAACCAAATTCTACAAAATTGTAAACAGAATCCCAAACTTTAATCATCATTATCTAGATTATCTATATTGCCTAAAATGCACGGGGATTTGATTAACTTTTTAAGTTTTGAAACTTGTTCAATGAGAAGAAGAAATTGCTGAAATGTAGTGATAACCAAAATTCTCATGCGACATGGAGTTCAGTTCAGCCATGGTGGCATCGGAATAATCTCACTACTTAACATGTGAATGACCTGCATTTACTTCCACATACGAAAAAGTAAGTATATTCTCCGCAAGTAGAAAAGGTTTTAAGTTTTTTGTTCAGAAACTAAATCAAATGCAGGAGGGGAAAAGAAAACAAAAAGATGAACCTTCTTCAATGAAAACAGACAGTCCAAAATCAGTAGCCTTCAACATTGCTCCCTCTTTCTTGCTAGACAACAAGAAATTTTCAGGCTTCAGATCACGGTGCATAACCCCCATGAAATGGCATATTTGAACAACATTCACAATAGCACGACAAATTTCAGCAGCAGCCTTCTCAGAATATTGGCCCTGCGCAATAATTCTATCAAAAAGCTCCCCACCAGCACAAAGTTCCATCACCAGATGAACCGAATACCTATCCTCATAAGCACCTTTGAACTCAACAATGTTTGGTTGTCCAGAAAGATGCTGGAGAATCAGAATTTCCCTCTTCATATCATCCTTATCATTCTTACTAATAAGCTTCCGTTTGAGTATAGACTTGCAGGCGTAAGTTTGGCCAGTGGAATTCTCAGTGCATAAATAGGTAATACCAAATTGACCTCTACCCAGTTCTTTTCCAAGAGTGTAGTATTTTTTAATATCATCATAGGGCCTACCCAGAATGGTTTCTGGATGATGTTGCGCTGTTCTAGGAGTAGCAACCGCAGGCTTTGAGAAAGCGGAAGCTGACGGTGGATGCTCCGCTGTTGGAGGCGGCTGAGGCTGATTTCTATTAGATGGGATTTGGGTTTGAGGGGCTGTTGCCTTCTGGGTCGGGACAGTAGACTGAGGTTGGTAAGATTGATATGGACCTCTAGTTGCAATCCCTGTCGCCGAATCAAACCCATTAAGACCTGATGTTGGAGGCTTTTGCGTGCTGCTACAGCAACCCATAATCTACTCAGAAAGTGTCAATGTGGAGAGGGATGAGAGGGATATTTTCAGTAAAAGAACTGTAAACCCAAATGGGGATTGGATTTCTGGGAATGCTGAAGAACAAATCCGCCGCCCAAGTCGTATCCAGGTTGGAGAACAAAGGGATTTTACGCGTTGGAGGGAAGAAGAACACGAAAAGGTTACCTCTAAATTTGGATTTTGTGAGACGAAAGAGGAATGGAAGTTCAAGCGTATGAAAGCAAAACCCAAAGATATCAAAGCTTGGTGAAAATTGCTTGGTAACAAGGCCAACCAGTGGTCACCGTGTTCGTCACTGAACTTTAAAAGCTGGTTTTAGTCAACTCAACAAAGGCGGTTCTTGTTCTTGAGAATTGCATTGGAAGCTGCATTTTTTTTTTTTTTTTAAGTTAATTTTAACACTCAACTTTTAATTATTTTTTCCTTTGACAAAGTCTCACCTTTAAATTTCATCCATTAAATCCATAACGTTTTTGTATGAATAACTGTTGGCATTTGGATTTAAAGTGGACCAAAATGTATTTTTGTGGCCAGGAAAAGCAACACATTTTTATTATTATAAAAATTTATACAAAATACATCACTCTCTTACAACTGTGAAAAAATAAGTTACAGAAAGTGAATCTTTTATTGTAAAAATTATACAAACTGCGATGGTAATTAAACAAAAAAAAAAGTTCCTAAAAAATAAATGTTTCAAGTTGTTTAAAAAAATAATATACATATTAGCAAAAATGAACGTTTAATGCCACTTATATATATATATATATATATTATTATATTGATTTTGTTGATCGTAAAAGAGTAAATAGATAATTATTTATTTTAGGTTATGAGATATCAATTATACAAATGATGATGCATGTAATAACTAAAAAACCCTAACAAAAGTTGTTGATATATAATATTGTGTTAATTTCATATGTATAATTCAAAATTATATGATAATTTCTACTATGATTAAAAATTCCTTGCAATATGTTCCATCTAATCTTGATCTTATATTTAAGATCATTTTAAAAAATTTAGTCAAAGGGTATCTTATTTTATTTGCTATTAATAATTTTATTCTAATAAAAATTAAAATTAATTTATTATGTTATTTCATTT